TTTTGGGCTAGGGCATTCAGCCCCCTAGGTCTTTGCTAATACAGGGGTCGGAATAATTACTAACAATATTCCCTGATCTGGTCCCTACACAATTAGACTATGATACCCCCCCCCCAACCCTATGCATAGTTGCTTCACTTTGTCCTCGGGGAGCTCTTTCACTTGGCAAGCTTCATCGCAAGGATTTCTCTCGCCCCTATGTTGCATGTGTTTTTTGTTTGGGGTGTTCCTGGTGTGGGTTCTGCACCGAAGCTAAAAGGGTCCTTTTCTGAGCAGCCAAACTTGGCTTAGGATTGGTTCATGGACAGCGCGGCAGATTTTGACAAATCCGGCATCCTAGAAGAGATTCAATCTGTCTGGCTCCTGCTTACACTTGCTGGCACAATCGTGGCTTTCTACATTCGGAACTGGTGGGTATTGGGCGTGTGCGTGGGAGGCGACATCTGCCTCCTGAGCAGAGACCTACTCTATCATCGCAAATGGGAGCAGTGTGTCAATGAGTACCTTCCCTAGCCAACAGTTGAACTTTCAAATTGTTGGGGTTCCTTTCTTAGTAGGTATCATGAAGCTTAACCTTTCTTGTATATTTAGCAGGAAAAGCAAAGCTTCTCCTCTTTATTTTAACATGCTTATTGGAGATGTAAGGTACGTGGAGGTGTCCTACACGGTCAACCAGATTTTCGCCATAATCCTGGGCCCCTTTGTTGCGTGGTGGTTTGTGGTGACTTCGCAGGCCTTAGACCCTTGGCAGGCCAGCGGTTCCTTTTTTTCCACCTTTTTGTTGGTTAAAGGTTCCCTCGTAAAGTACCTAACCCCAAAACAAAGGGTGCCCTTATTCTACCCCTAAACCCTAAACCCTGGGGACCCTAAACCCTAAACCCTAAATTTAAGAGCCTCCGGCTCAAGCCGCCGACCCCGCTGGAGCATAGTTGAAAGGTTTAAACGCGCTCGTCAGCTCAAAGGATGCCAAAAGTTGATTTGCTTGAGCCTCTGTGACCCAAACAGGAGCTGAAGCCAGCTTGAAAGAGCATCAATTCACGCCCAACAACCGGAGAGGGGGGGGTAGGGGGGGGGGGGGCGAGGGGGGAGGGAGGGGGGGCGAGGCGGGTGGTGGGGGGGAGGGGGGGGGGGGTATAGGGGGGTGGTTTTCCTATGAGCCTCCGTCGCACGAGTTATGCAGCTCCATATGGAAAGCTGCCCCCCCCCCCCCCCCCCCCGCGTTTTGGGGGGTTAAGGAGGGAAAGAGCGACATTTTCACCTCCTTTTCCCATCCAACACGCCGCCAGGGTCGGCGGACCCAAAACCCTAAACCCTAAACCCTAAACCCTAATTAGACTTTGGTTGCTGGGCCACCAAGGACCGCCTCTATGAGTTCGTACCCCGAACTGCCGACATCAAGAACGTGTGCAAGACTCGCGACGGTTTTTTGCACTTTCTGTTTGGCAGAGACCCGACAAAAGAAGCTGGGCAGCCCAGTGGTACCCTTTCCCCGGTTCCCTTACAAAGTAACCAACCCAAAAAGGGTGACCTTATCATAACATGGTCACTGGGCTAAACCCTAAACCCTAAACCCTAAACCCTAAACCCTAAACCCTAAACCCTAAACCCTAAACCCTAAACCCTAAACCCTAAACCCTACCAAGGAAGGCATAGTAGGCTTGGCTGCAAACGTGCTAAAGCCACTGCTTCACGTGAAGATCGACCGGGTCTATGACGCATCTGTGACACAGACGCCTTCCGGTAGCCCAGCGGTACCCTTTTCCCCTTTTTCGTTGGGTTCAAGGTTCCCTTACACAGTAACCAACCCCAGGACAGGGTACCCTTATCATAAAATGGTTACTGCTTAGGAGCTCTTTTGACTTGGTACGTCTACTTAGGACCCCCTAGAGACCCTATTATCATCCCCCTAACCCGCCTTACTAGCCCTCAACCCGAAACCCTAAACCCTAAACCCTAAACCCAAAATCCTACTTACGAAGTCAAAAAAAGGTCTTCTGGATACTGGGCAACCGAGGCAAAGACCCCCACTTCAGGTCGAATTCTACAAGGAGTATGCGTCGAAGAAGGCTCCGGCCTTAAGGGAGCATCCCCAGGGTTTAGGGCTTTAGGGCTTTAGGGCTTTAGGGCTTTAGGGCTTTAGGGCTTTAGGGCTTTAGGGGTTTAGGGCTTTAGGGCTTTAGGGTTTAGGGTTTAGGGTTTAGGGTTTAGGGTTTAGGGTTAGGGTTTAGGGCTTTAGGGCTTAAGGGCTTAAGGGCTTAGGGTTTAGGGTTTAGGGTTTAGGGTTTGGGGTTTAGGGTTTAGGGTTTAGGGTTTAGGGTCCCAAACTGCCGATATTGGAGGTACTTTAAGGCCCAGTCTTCCCTACTTAGGTACATGGACCCTCAGTATAAGTACGGTTATAGCTAGGGGTTATAACTACCCTGAACCTCCAGGTAGTCCTTCGAGAAGCCTTGGACCCGTATGTATCCTGCACATGCTCATACCACGATGCCCTAAACCCTAGAAACCCTAGAAACCCTAGAAACCCTAAACCCTAAACCCTAAAGGTAAAGCCACCGCCATCTCAACCTGATCATCCGGAAGATTCCTCCTCTGAGTCGGACCCCGATCCCGAAGATGCGCTTGGAGGTCGACAAGTGCCTTGGTTTAGGGTTTAGGGTTTAGGGTTTAGGGTTTAGGGTTTAGGGTTTAGGGTTTAGGGTTTAGGGTTTAGGGTTTAGGGTTTAGGGTTTAGGGTTTAGGGTTTACGTAGGGGTTCAGGCTTTAGGACGTTAGTATAGACCTCAGGTAAGGGAGTTGCAGCCTAGATACTGAGCGTTGCAAACCTCGTCGCGCTGCATCTAACCACAGAAACCCTAAACCCTGGTAACCCTAGTAACCCTGAACCCTAGCCCTAAACCCTAAAACCTTAAGCCCCCACACCCTGAACCCCAAACCCGAGTAATCCTGGTATTCCTACACAGCTTGGGAGGTCTCGGCTGGTAGGGTTTGGGGGCAAAATCTACCTGCATGCCCTGATCATCCCAATAGACCCTAAACCCTAAGTTTAGGGTTTAGGGTTGGGGGTTTAGGGTTTAGGGTTCAGGGTTTAGGCTTTAGGGTTTAGGGTTTAGGGTTTAGGGTTCAGGGTACACCCTGAACTTCAAAACCCCAATCCTGCACCAGACCCCACCACCGAACAAACTTACATGAGGTAGGGTGAGTGTATATGAAGTCGGGTTTATATGACAACGGTTGGTGAGTCCATATAAGGATCCTTTTTAATATTTGTGAGCGTATGTACAAGAAATAGAAACCCTACTTCACATGAGGTAGGGTGAGTGTATATCGGCTTGAGGGTTGAATTAGGGGTTTCCTTCTTGAATTCTTTAGGTGCGCAGTCCCTTTTCGCATTTAGGGCCCAACAAAGCCCCAAAACAGCCCCCTAAAAAACCCTAAAGCTCAAGCACCACCCCAAGCCCTAAGCCCTAAAACCCTAAAACCCTAAGCTCCTAAACTCCTAAACGCCTAAACCCTAAACCCTAAGCCCTAGTAGCCTCTACCCTAAGTTCCCTAAACGCTAAGCTCCCTAAACCGAGGTCGAGAGCAGGAGCCCACTCTTAACATGGACACTGGACTCTCCACAACAAGCTGCTGGGATGTTTAGGGTTTAGGGGTTGGGGTTTACTGCTTAGGGTTTAGGGGAGGGTCTGGGGTTTAGGGCTTACGGTTTAGTTTGATTTGTTTTTGTTTATGTTGGAGGCGGTGAGGGCTTCAGGGGTGTAGGGTTTAGGGTTTGTGGGGTGCGGGGTGGAAGGCTTTGGGGGGTGTTTGTGAGGTAGTAGGGCACCTTTTTTGATGAGATTTGGCCTGATGTGCTTGAGCAACTACCCGGGTTCAGGGTCAGGGTTTTGGGTTTAGGGTTTGGGATTTAGAGCTTAGGGTTTAGGGTTTAGGGCTCAGGGTTTGGGATGTTGCAGCTTCTGTCAGCGATCTTGTATGTCCGTCCAACCATTTTCTTGTGCAAGCACATGCAGCAAGCAGTGAACTCGCCAAACGAGTTGAAGGTCTTCGCTGCTCGTATTTGTGTAGTTGTGGCCCATAGCTGTCCTGGAGTAATTTGGTCCTGCGAATCCCACGAACATAAGCACGCACCACTAAAGCACTGTCACCAGAGGCTCGACTTCTGCATCCAACTCTTCTGTCTCGAAGCTCACACTAAGGCTACATCTTTCGAGTGGATCCAAGGGCGTGAAGTGGCCTTGATCTACAGCACGCAGGGTCACCACGTGAAGGCCCGAAAGAGAAAGAGAGAGAGAGAGAGAGTGAGTGAGACGTGTGCATGAAATATTGAGTACCCCTCAAAACCGATCCTCATACCCAGAAAAGCAGCATTGCAAATTCCAGGCAGCAGCTGTAGTTGCCCCGAACAGCCCGAACTGAACAGTACGTAAAGCAAAGTGGGTCCAATCAAGTTTGCGTGCCCGAAACCGAAAAACAGACGGAACCATCCGGAATCAGGGCTAATTAATTATGTGATCCGGGGACCTGGTTGACTTCTCCGGGCTTATGTTGGGAACGCCTCTTGCTGACGTATCGCAGGTTGGTTCATGGGGCGACGTGGGGGAGTCCGCCGAAGACGCGACTTCCAGTGCTGGTGCGAGACACTTCCACATTCATCTGAGGCAGGATGGGCTATGAGGGTTTAGGGTTTAGGGTTTAGGGTTTAGGCTAAGAGGCTAAGAGGCCTTGTAATCCTCACCCTAAACCCTATACCCTATACCCTATACCCTGTAAGGGGCCTTGGAAGTAGGGGACAATAGCCCGTCCTAATCTTCCCTAAATCCGAAACCCTAAACCCTAAGTCCCTGCACCCAAAATCGCTAAATCCCTAAACCCTAAACCCTAAACCCTAAACCCTAAATGCACCTTTACCTTAATCCCCAAACCCTGAATCCCTAAATCCCGAGTTGCCTATTCATGTGAGGCAGAGTGGCCAGTACAAGCGCATCGATGAAGCCATGCACTTTCAGCCCCTGTTGTTGCTCCTCGGTTTAGGATTAGGTTTTAGGGTTACCATAAACCCTAAACCCTAAACCCTAAACCCTAATAGGGTTTTAGGGTTGAGGGTTTAGGTCTCCTCGGTTGGCTGAGTAAGTCGCAACAAGCCAAAATCAGTTCTCCTTTCGAAAAACCCTAAACCCTAAACCTTAAACCCTAAACCCTAAACCCTCAACCCTAAACCCTAAACCCCAAACCCTAAACTCTAGACTCTAAACCCTATACCCTAAACCCTAAACCAAAACCAAGTTCTGATAGCCATGCTTGGATCTCGAGCCCTAGGCACTGCACCCTACACATCCTACTACCTATCCCAATCCGAAACCCCTAAACCCTAAGCCCTAAACCTTGAACCCTAGACCCTAAAACCTTAAACCCAGCCCTTAACCCCAACCCCTAAACCCTAAACTCTACACCCCAAACCCTAAATCCCTAAACACTAAAACGCCTAAGCCCCTGACTACCCCGAACCCGAATCAACCCCCAAACCCTAGCCCTCAACCAAGCCCCAAAGCGTATTCCCTTATGGTCCCCTATATGTACTTGTACTCGACTATCCCCCAAAACCCCAAGCCCCAAACCGTAACCCCAAACCCGAAAAAACAAAACCCTGAACCCAAAACCCTAAACCCTAAACCCTAAACCCTAAACCCTAAACCCTAAACCCTAAACCCTAAACCCTAAACCCTAAACCCTAAACCCTAAACCCTAAACCCTAAACCTAACCCTAAACCCTAAACCCTAAACCCTAAACCCTAAACCCTAAACCCTAAACCCTAAACCCTAAACCCTAAACCCTAAACCCTAAACCCTAAACCCTAAACCCCAACCCAAAACCGTAAACCGAGGTTTTGCTTTGGTGACAGGCCCGGCTTCACGCCGGGACGTGGAGTTGGTGACCGTGGCCCCCGCCGCAGACCCGTGCTTCTGCAAAGCCAGGCTTTGGGGTTCCGGGTTTACTTCGCCTAGGGTTTAGGGTTTAGGGTTTAGGGTTTAGGGTTTAGGGTTTAGGGTTTAGGGTTTAGGGTTTAGGGTTTAGGGTTTAGGGTTTAGGGTTTAGGGTTTAGGGTTTAGGGTTTAGGGTTTAGGGTTTAGGGTTTTGGGTTTAGGTTTTGAGTGGAGGGCGAGGCGGGGGGGGGGGGGGGGGGGGGGGGGGGGGGGGGGGAGTCTTCTTCCTTTCTTACTTTTTTCTGGCACCTATCCAGAATGTTTTTGGCATGCGACCTGCTACTTTGCACACCGGGTTGGACAGTTAGGTTTCATACATGCCAGGCACAGTCATATTTCCTGCATTATTCTCATTCCTCTACTAAGGCAATATGGTTTTTCCAAAATAAGGGGTTCCCTGGATATATATATATATATATAATATACATGTACACATCTAGAAATATGCATATATATATATAATAGAAACTTTCAAAAGGGTACCCCCCCCCCCCCCCCCCCGCTATTTTCGGAAGGCCCCCATATGAACCATGAGCCCTTTTAGCTTGATTCCGCACACAAACCGGCCAGGTGAGGCGCCAGGAGCGTTGGAATCAGATGGTCTGTGTTGCCCTTGCACTTCCTCTTCTCCTCGGCCTCATTGTCGCTTAGGGACTGGGTAGGTAACCTTTAAACTTTCTTCTAGGAACCATATGATAATCAGGGCACGCTTTTTTGGGGTTTAGGGTTTAGTTAGGGTTTCGGGTTTTAGGGTTTAGGGTGAAACCTTTGGTTGTGTAGAATCCTACCATACATAACAGGTTAGCCCTTTTGGGCTAGGGCATTCAGCCCCTTAGGTCGTGTGGAAGAATCCTGGCAGATGGGGAGGCTATGCCAGCATCGCGTACCTCATTCTGCCTGAAATGATCGATGTGCTGGTGCACAACAGGACAGCTTTTTAGGGTTTAGGGTTTAGGGTTTAGGGTTTAGGGTTTAGGGTTTAGGGTCGTCCTTCGGGACCCGAATGAAGCCAACCTCGGGTCATATTACCTATTCTAGCTCACTATACATGCTATTTACTTTCATTCCTATGAAGGTATATGACTATTCTATATTCTAGTTCACTCTATATATATATATATATATGCTACTATAATTCACTATATATATATATATATATACTACTATAATTCCTATGAAGGTATATGAACCATAAACCCCTTTGGGGCTCACATGGTCCCCAAGGATCCCGAAGCCTCATGCCAGAGGCCCGTAAACCCGAATTCCCGAAAGGCACCCCTAAAGCTCCCTAAGCCGCCCTAAGGCACCCTAAACCCTAAACCCTAAACCCTAAACCCTAAACCCAGGACCAACGCTCACGACAATCCGCTTCTCTTCGGGCATGCCGGGCATCTTAGTCGCCAGCAAGAGCTCCTCAGGACGCTTGGTAGCCACCCTAAACCCTAAACCCTAAACCCTAAACCCTAAACCCTAAACCCTAAACCCTAAACCCCATTTTTTTGGTTCTGGGTTCCCGTATAAAGTAGCCAACCAAGAAAGGGTGCCCTTATTGGCAATATGGTTACTGGACTACTGAGGACGCTTGAACAAGGCTGGGAGACTTGGTGCGCCCTTGGGATGTTTTTGGGTTTGGGTTTAGGGTTTAGGGTTTAGGGTTTTGGGTTCGGGGTTTAGGGATTAGGATTTAGGGTATCGTTGCTTTTGGTCGGTTTCGTTATGAGGGTCGCGTTTAGGAACATCAATTCTTTTTGTTGGGCGTTTAGGGCTTTAAGATTCACGTCTTCTAGATGGTATTCACAGGGATGAAACTCCCTAAACCCTCAACCCTAAACTCAAAACCCTAAACCCTAAACCCTAAACCTTAAACCCTAAACCCTAAACCCTAAACCCTAAACCCTAAACCCTAAACCCTATGCCAGCCCAGGACTGCGTGTCCGGGAAAGACAGCTTCATGGGTCGACTGGCCTTGTGCGACTCGACTTTCTTCTTGGGAAGGGTTTAGGGTTTAGGGTTTAGGGTTTAGGGTTTAGGGTTTAGGGTTTAGGGTTTAGGGTTTAGGGTTTAGGGTTCAGGGTTCAGGGTTTAGGGTTTAGGGTTTAGGGCTTAGGGATTAGGGATTTAGGATTTAGGGCTTAGGCGACTCGACTTTCTTCCTGGTCGGCTGCGCGATCATGGTGCTCATCGGCTGCTACCACCTCTATGCAGTCAGCGAAACCCTGAGTATGCTGAGTCTTGTATCCATAGTCTCCTCTGGCATTTGTTTTTGTATTTCATTGCAGTCCGCATAAACGAAGAGTGTGAATTATTAGAATATATGTAGTTCTTGAGAGAAAGACACCTGTACCCCCGGCCTGAACCCTGTCTTTTGACAAAAAGAACCCAAAATCCTTGAAACTTCTCAAGCCCTGAACCCCTAACCCCTAAACCCTAAACCCTAAACCCTAAACCCTAGACCCCTCATGAAAACCGTGCGGTCAAAAGGAATGATCTGCTACACATCCACCAGCGGAGGGACCCGCGGGTTCAAGCCATGCTCATGCACTCTGGCAGACTTTGGGGTTTAGGGTTTAGGGTTTAGGGTTTAGGGTTTAGGGTTTAGGGTTTAGGGTTTAGGGTTTAGGGTCTATAGGGTTTAGGGTTTAGGGTTTAGGGTTGGGGTGTTCCCGCTTATACAAACAGTCCTCAATAGGGAGTATACTAGGGGATACTACAATCGCTATTAAGGATTAGTATAAACGCCATGCTCATGCACTCTGGCAGACTTTGTTCGGGTTCAGGGCTCGAGGGTGTAGGGGTTTAGGGTGTAGGGTCTTTGAGTCTAGGGCGTCTAGGGTTTAGGGCTTAGGGTTAGGGTTAAGGGTTTCGGGATATGGATTAGGATTTCGGGTTTAGGGGGGTTTAGGGTTTAACGTTTTGGGGCTTAAGGTGTGAAGGCGTTAAGGAGTCGAACGAAATATACAAATGGGCCCCACAGACATGTGACTGAAGCGCGTTGATCCAACAAAGCATTTCCCTTTTTTAAAATTGTAAACCCTAGCTATCTTGAAACTGTAAACCCTAAACCCTCAAACTTAGGGATACCCGGGACAAGTTCTTAGTTGTTGGGTACTCTAGTTCCTCAGAAACAGCTAAAGTTATACTTCTTGCTGGGGTTCCAAGTTCAGTATAGTAAACCCAAAAAACCTTAATACCTGAACCCTAAACCCTAACACCCTAGTGATGGGGGTGGGGGGTAGAGGGGGTGGCATCGACGTCGGCTCTCAGGACGGCAGGTCCTGGTTGCATTTGGCTAGCCTTGGGGCGCACTGACAGGTTAGTGGGCAGTTCTACTTAAAGGCTCAAAACCCAACTTTTCAACTTCTGGGCTTCTCATAAGGTAGTTTGTTCTGAAAGTTTCAACTTTTATTTCCTTTGGTTTTGGGCCAGCAAGTCTTTGTAGGATGAAGGATGGCTGAATGTACCTGACTTGTACCTGACTAAACATTGCGCTAAGAAGGCAGCCTTTGCAAGGGAGACCCATTATTTGTTTGTTTTTCAGGGTTTGGGTTCCCTTAGAAAAACCCCTTTAAACCAAAAAGGGCACCCTTTTTATTCATGGGTTACTCTTGGATCTAGATTTGCTTGGCGTTCTTCAGCGGACCTTGGATGAGCCCCTGAAGTAAGAAAGGAATTACTTTAAAAACAATTATAAGGATCTCTTATGACTTAAGGTCGTTTCCTGAAGTAGGAGGGTATTGGGCTCTTTGGGTATTCGTCCCAGAGGTACAGGCTACACTACATCCGTGGCCGGATCACCAACAAGAGATGCCTGGAGTTCATCGCCGGGCGAGCTCTACCGGATCGATTGGAACCCGATGCGTCGTTGTCTTGGTGCCAGGGGTTTAGGGTTGGTGTTTAGGGTTTGGGGTTTGGGGTAACCCTAAACCCTAAACCCTAAACCCTAAACCCTAAACCCTAAACCGGGGTTTAGGGTTTAGGAGACGGGGGGGGGGCTCAGAAGCAGGCTTGGATATGCTTTGGGTAGGGCTTTCAATCCAGGGCCGGGATCCGGGGGTTCACGGTTCATCATGGGTTTCCCTACCACCCCACTCTATACTATCGGAGTTTAGAATTAGGGTTTATAGAAATTGTATAGGGTTTGGGTCCCAATAAGTTTTGAGCGAAACGTTTTGAGCGAAACGTTTTGAGCGAAACGTTTTGAGCGAAACGTTTTGAGCGAAACGTTTTGAGCGAAAGTTTCGAGCGAAAGTTTTGAGCGATTTTTTTTTCAGATATTAGGTTTAGGGGTCTGGGGGGTCTGGGAGCCAATTTTGGGCTCCGGAAGCCTGGGCTTGGGGAGCAAATTTTGGGCTGGGCCAATTTGGGCCAATTTTGGGTTTTGGGTCCAATTTTGGGCTTTGGGGTCAATTTTGGGCTCTGGGAGCCAATGTTGGGCTCCAAAAGCCAATTTTGGGGTTGGGAGGCAATTTTGGCCAATTTTGGGTTTTGGGGGTTTGGAGTCAATTTTGGGTTCTGGGAGCCAATTTTGGGCTCGGGGAGCAAATTTTGGGCTGTGCCAATTTGTGCTAATTTTGGGTTTTGGTTGGGCTTTTGGGGGTCAATTTTGGGCTTTGGGAGCCAAATTTTGGCCAATTTGGGTTTTGGGGCCAATTTTGGGGTTTTGGGCTCTGGGAGCCATTTTTGGGCTTGGGAGGCAAATTTGGGGGTGAATTTGGTCTTTGGGGGCCAATTTCGGGGCTCTGAGCAAATTTTGGGCTTTGGGAAGCCAATTTTGGGCTTGGGGGGCCAATTTTGGGCTTTGGAGCCAATTTTGGGCTTTGGAGCCAATTTTGGGCTCTGGAGACAATTTTGGGCTGCGGAAGCCAATTTTGGGCTTGGGGAGCAAGTTTCGGGCTTTGGGGGCCAATTTTGGGCATTGGAAGCCAATTTGTGGTTTTTGACCCGGGAAGGCACCCCGGGAAGGCCCCAGAGGTTTAAGTAAATTGAACATTTGGCCTCCCGCTTTGGTTTAATTTATTTAAACTCTGTTTGTCAGCTGTTTAGACAAATATCTTGGAAAATTCAGAATGATACCACATACAATTTTTATTTATTTTGTCTTGAGGGTTTAGGGTTTAGGGTTTAGGGTTCAGGGTTCAGGGTTTAGGGTTTAGGCCGACCCTAAACCCCAAACCCCAAACCCCAAACCCCAAACCCTAAACCCTAAACCCTAAACCCTAAACCCTAAACCCTAAACCCTAAACCCTAAACCCTAAACCCTAAACCCTAAACCCTAAACCCTAACCGCAACATTCTTGGGGATGCCTTGCAGCTTTCTTCCTCCCCTTTGCCCGGCAGAAGCCCAGGATTGTTGTCACCCAGCGTTATCCTAAACCCTAAACCCTGAACCCTGAACCCTAAACCCTAAACCCTAAACGGAATGATGCCTGCTTTGCTGGGCTCTCGCGGCACATAGTTTCCAAGCCAACCTAAGTCTGAACTACGAGTCTAGGACCCAGAGTAGGCCCTTATCTACTATGTGATTAAGAAACCCCCACAAAAGCATGATTCTTAAGCAATTGGTAGTGATTATCATCTTTTTGTTAGGGCTTAGGCGCCCTTGTATGCCCCTTTAAACCAGGAGGGGCACCCTATTTATTCCTAGCCTAAATCCAAAGCCCTAGACCCTTAAAAACGGGGCACCTGTTGTATTCCTAGGTTTCATCTACGGGCATCTAGGCGCCTTAGGGTTTACGATATAGGGCGTAGGGTTTAGGGTTTAGGGTTTGTGCCCGTGCATCGGGAAATTGTTTAGGAGCCCTCCTCAAACCCTGGACCCTAAACCCTAAACCCTAAACCCTCCCAAGGCTTGTAACCGCCCTAAACCAGTTGGGGCGGAGGCCCTGATGCCCCTAAACGCGAAAGGGTTTAGGGTTTAGGGTTAAGGGTTTAGGGTTTAGGATTTAGGGTTTAGGGTTTAGGGTTGAACCCTAAGACCTAAACCAGTTAGTTAGGTCCCCCTGCAAGGTGGTTCGAAACAAGGGCGGCCGTGTTTGCCGACATCAACTTCAATTTTGAGAAGAGAGACCTGCTCCGCAGTCCAGGGTGTGCAAGTAGGGGTTTAGGGTTTAGGGTTTAGGGTTTAGGGTCTAGGGTTTAGGGTTTAAGGCCCATAGTTCAGGGCGCTTCGCTGGGTGAAGAGTCATACGTCTTCTTCTTTAGTGTGGTCAAGGGGCCCCTACTTGTAGGTTTCAGGGGCATAGGTCTTAGGGTGCAACGCCCTGAACCCCTACACCCTCAACCCTAAACCCTCCTCAAACCCCAAGCCTAAACCCTGAACCCTAAACCCCCCAAACCCTCCTCAAACCCCAAGCCCTAAGCCCTAAACCCTAAACCTCGAGGCCATCCCCCTAAACCCGGACCCCCAGTTCAAGGCGTAGGAGTTCTGTCCGTTTGGGGCAGAAGAGTCGGGGCTTAGAAGGTCAAAGGTTTCTTGCGAGCTTTCGGATATGAGGTGTAGGGCATAAGTAAGAAAAGAGGCAAAGGGGGTACTTCTCAAGGTTTAGTGTTTCAGGTTTATGCTGTTAATGGCCCCAAGCCTGTTTCCCCAAAGCCCTCTGGGCCCTAAACCACCCAGGACCCCACTAAAAAAGGGGATCAGTTTTGCTTGTGAATATTGAGGCCCAAGCGCTAAACCCGAAATCCTAAACTCTAAACTCTAACCTCTAAACCCTAAACCCTAAACCTACACCCCTACGCTCCTAAACCCTAAACCCTAAAGATCAGGAAAACCCATCCTGGCCCTCTGCTTGCTTGCAGAGCTGATGCTGATCCTGCTGACGGTATCTGGGGGTTCAGGGTTCAGGTTTTCAGGGTTTGGTTTTAGGGTTTAGGGTTAGGGTTTAGGGTTTGGGCTTAGGGCTTAGGGCTTAGGGCTTAGGGTTTAGGGTTTAGGGTTTATGGTTTAGGGTTTAGGGTTCAGGGTTTAGGGTTTAGGGTTTAGGGTTTAGGGTTTAGGGTTTAGGGCGTAGGGTCACCTTCTGGGGCTTCTCATGGCCTTAAGTTCCGGCCAAGGGCTGCGGGCTCACGGACTGCTTCCTCATGCAGTGTTTGAACCTGTAAATCTAAGGGTAGGTCCCTTACTGCGGTCCTAAGGGTTTAAGGTTTGGGCTTTAGGGTTTAGGGTTTAGGGTTCAGGGTTTAGGGCTAGGGTTTAGTAGGTTTTAGGGTTCAGGTCAGTTCCATGGTCCCTTAATATGGTCCCTTACCTCCTTTAAAGGGCTCTGAAGTATGGGCCCTTGGGTTGCCTAGGGTCTATAAGGGTCCCCTTTTAAAGGCCATATGAAGGACAACTACCTTTAGATAAATATGCACATCCTCAACGCCAACCGAGACCCCTAAACCCTAAACCCTAACTCCCAGTCCCCAGACAAAGTTGTAACCTCCCAGCTTGTTCATGAATTCTGGATTTGGTGTCTCAGGGTTTAGGGTTTAAGGGTTTAGGGGTTTAAGGGTTTAAGGGTTTAAGGGTTTAAGGGTTTAAGGGTTTAAGGGTGTACGGGATCTAAAGGTGTTAAGGGCGTTAAGGGTTTTAAGGGTTTTTAAGGCTTTAAGGGCTTTAAGGGCTTTAAGGGCTTTAAGGGCTTTAAGGGTGTAAGGGATTAAGGATTTAAGGATTTAAGGGTTTATGGTTTAGGGTTACGGGTTTAGGGTTTCGGGTTTAGGAAACCCTAAACCCTAAACCCTAAACCCTAAACCCTAAACCCTAAACCCTAAACCGTCTAGGTGCTGGCCTCGGCCTTTCGGGAGAACGACTTCGTGGTCATGTGCTATGCGGCTTCCTACGGTTTTGGCCTGGGCTTCATCACCCTGCTGCTACCTGGACGGAGCCCTAAACCCTAAACCCTAAACCCTAGACCCTAAACCCTAAACCCTAAACCCTTCGAACTTCCACGAAAGATCTTAGATCCAAGACCCTAAGTTAACCCGGTTTAGGGTCTTGTACCCTTTTCATTCCTCGCCATAAGCCCTAAACTCTAAACCCCAAACTGCAAACCCTCGAAGGCAAATCTAGACCTTGGTTCTACACCTGCCCTAACCCCCCTAAACTTACCATAAGCACTCAACCCTAAATGGTTTCTGAACCGGGGCACCCTTGTTTGAGGGGGGGGGGGGGGGGGGGTTGCTAAAATGAAGATTGTAGCTTTTGTTGGGTACATTCGGGGCACCCCCTGTTTTGCGGCGTACCCAAATCCACTCTGAGCAGTCAAGGTTCATGTACCTTGGGAGCAAGGCCGGGGGCACCTGCCCAAAAGAAGCCACCCCTACGCCTAAACCCGAAACCCTAAACCCCAAACCCTAAACCATTGTCGGGATGCCCTTTGTACTTATAGGATCATGATAGGGGTACAATGCTGCCTAGTATTGACTGCTAGTCTACGGGGGAACATCCCAACCCGAAACCCTAAAGCCTAAACCCTAAACCCTAAACCCTAAACCCTAAACCCTAATCCTAGGGTTTACGGTTTAGGGTTTAGGGTTTAGGGTTTAGAGTTTTAGGGTTTTAGGGTTTTAGGGTTTAGCAAGCTCCGGTTTAGGGCTTAGGGTTTAGGGATTGGGGTTTCGGGTTTAGGGTTCAGGTTTTAGGGTTCAGCACGCCGGGTCGAGCAGTTTTATGGTAAAGCTTTATTTACGGCTCAGATATTACACCCACCCACCCGGAGAATCCCACAACATTGAAATAGCAAGTAAAGCGGCCTTATTCTGAAAATAAAGCGGCCTTATTCTGAAAATAAAGCGGCCTTATTCTGAAAATGAAGCGGCCTTATTCTGAAAATAACGCAGCCTTATTCTGAAAATAAGGCGGCCTTATTCTGAAAATGAAGCAGCCGTATTCTGAAGAAAAAACGGCCTTATTCTGAAATTCAATTAGCCTTTAGCCTGATTTTGGCGTTATTCTGGAAATAAAAAAGCGGCCTTATTCTGAAAATAAAGCGGCCGTATTCTGAAAATGAAGCGGCCTTATTCTGAAATTCAATTAAGGTTTAACTACACATGGTAGAGAGGGTTTAGGGGTTTAGGGTTTAGGGTTTAGGGACCCCCTAAATCCTGAACCCTAAAGCCCCTAATCTCAACCCAAGCATTCATCCCCAGAGCCTCAGCCCAAAGCCCATACTTCGGATTCCCTACAGTGGGCGGGGGGCTGTGGGGGTGGGCGCGCTGTGCGGGGGAGGGGGGGAGGGGGGGCTTTGTGGGGTTTAGGGTTGTAGGGTTTACCTGGAAGACCTTTTGACTTCGTAAGTAGGGTTAGATATTCGGGCTTCTAGCAGATACCTGAGTACTTGGAGGTTCATGGTACGTATGAACCACTCATAACTGTACTTATAACCCACTGATAAGCCCCTTAAGTGCCCTAGCGTAAGTACAATGAACTAAGGACCGATACTTCGGATCCCTTTAGACCCTGTTAAACAAGGGTAAGGGAGGATACTGTCAACCCTAAACCGTAAACCCTCAACCATCAAGCCTAAACCCTAAACCCTAAACCCTAAACCCTAAACCCTAAACCCTAAACCCTAACCCTAAACCCTAAACGGGACCATGGTTCCAAACTTAGACACAGACCCCGGAGGTGAACGCGCAGCTCGAGATCGGGCTGCAACTTCCTCAGCCAACAGTAGAACTTCAAACTTTGTCGGGTTTCCCTAAACCCTAAAACCTAATCCCTAAACCCTAAACTCTAAACCTTAAACCCTTAACCCTAAACCCTAAACCCTAAAGACCAGGAACACCCATCCTGGCCCTCTGCTTGCTTTCGCCAAGTAGACCCTAAACCCTAAACCCTAAACCCTAAACCCTAAACCCTAAACCCTAAACCCTAAACCCTAAACCCTAAACCCTAAATCTAGCCCTTGGAAAACAAGGCAAAAAGTCGACAAGTTTGTGGATGTCGTGGAGCCCGGCGGCAGACAGGGAACGCCTCTACCCGCGAGGCCAGGGCCTGCCAAGGTTTAGGGTTTAGGGTTTAGGGTTTAGGGTTTAGGGTTTAGGGCTTAGGGCTTAGGGTTTAGGGTTTAGGGTTGAGAAGCATGAGTTTTGGGGTTCAGGGGCTTAGGTTTGTGACTTTTGAATTTGGTGGTTCAGAGATTTTTGGGCTCGGGGTCTTCGCTTTCGAGTTTGGCTGTTTCAGGGAAGGCGGTTTGGGGCACCTTTTTTACAGATCCTCAAGGTAAAGTTATTGGGGCTATCTATCTATCTATATATATATATATATGGGTCACCGCCTATAGGGGTTCCCCTGTGTTATATATACATATATATATATATATACTGTATATATACTGGTCAGCATTTTCAGGGGAACCTTTCGGGGTAGAACCTACGAGTCTGAATCTCTTGATTTTCTGGGCAGGCAAGAGACATTGCGACAGCTGCGAGAATATGCAGAGGAGTACCTCGGAGCTTTGGGTGTCTTTCACTTTCCCTTATGGGGTAAACCCTAAACCCTAAAACCCTAAAAACCCCTTTTAGGGTCTGAGAGGATGAAACCCTAAGTCCTAAACCCTAAATCACATTCAGGAATATCTTTCAGATGCTTTTTTGTTTGGAGAAAACATCCAAACTTGAAATTCAAACTAAACATCCCGAACCTCAAAAAGTATGCAACCTAGGTACCCACTTCAGCTGAAATTTATGGGATTCCCGTTTACTGTCAGCTTCCTCTCGGTGTTTGCCGCGCCGCTGACGACCTTCGGTGCGACCGTGGGCTTCTGGATGTTGCAACACACGCTGAAGCCCTTCATGGGGTCCTTGGCCGGGTGAGTTTAGGGTTTAGGGTTTAGGGTTTAGGGTTTAGGGTTTAGGGTTTAGGGTTTAGGGTTTGGGGTTTAGGAGAGAGGGCGGGAGATTTTGCATGGCTTAATTCGCTGCGATGCACATCGTTTTCAGACCCTGACGTCCGACCGTGTATTCACGAATCGTGAAGATGGCGGCGAGCGCGAAGTGGGTGTAGGACGCACTGACGTCCACCTTACCTAGCATGGCGTGCACAAAGCCACGTCCCGAATCAAAAATGTTTGCGGGATGGTACGAAACCTTCTGACCCGACGCGCTCTCAGGCGCTCTGGGCTTAGAGGTTGGGAGTCGCTGCAATGAAGTGCGTATGTGCCGCCGTAAGTCGATAGGAGTTTTTTTTCGGCCGACAGCGCGAGGGAGTATGTATGAGTTATGGAGCAGTTCTCATCCACGATGTATTTTGTATCATGGATAATGAGTTAAACTAGGGATGGGGCCCCCATTGGATCCCCATGTAGGGTTTAGGGTTTGCCTCACGACTACCCTAAGTTTAGGCGCGTGGGTTATTGGCTTGAAGGTCATTGAAGGACTGGCATTGGGAATCTAGAACCCAAACTCGGAGCCTAAGCACAATACATCTTAAGGGCCAACACGATGGCAATTGCAAGCATTCGATTTTAGTTGTTTCAGGCTTTTTTCAGCTCTGAATATTAACCCTAAGGGTCCATGTACCTAAATCAGGAAGACTCGGGCCTTAAAGTACCTCCTATTTACCCAAAGGCTCCGATGTAGTTCCTCTTTGGGTTAGTTATAGGGGATTCTGTATACTACCCCAAGAAGGTACTACATAGGAGCATTTGGGTAATAAGGTACCTGGACCCTTAGGGTAGCTATCTCTGGGCGGGCGCTCTTATGGGTAAAGTGCGCTTTTGGAGTACTCTGTCGGCCCCGTGGAGTATAGTCCCACTCCGCAGGTTCCTACTTTCCCTAAACCCTAAACCCTAAACCCTAAACCCTAAACCCCTTCCTGATTGAAATGTTGCGAAGGGGTCCTGTTTCTGGCGGGAACGTGGTGTGTGTATTTCTACTTCGCCTAGCTTCAAGACTGCAGGGGTTTAGGGTTCAGGGGACGTCGGCGTATAGTGTGCATCATTTGTGTTCGAAAACTCTTTCTCATGTTAATGTGAACCCTATAAACCCTAAACCCTAATCCCTAAACCCTACGGGTGGTTGTCAAATTGAACGTCCATGCTTTTGTTCCCTCATTTGCCTGACGCTCCCATCTCCTGACGTCCACCACTTCCTTACGTCGCCTTTAGGTGAACTTTAAACTTTTTGGGCTTCCTTATTTAGTAGAAATATTAAAGTTTAACCTTTTTTCCCCTTGGTTATTGGAGAAGTAAGCTTCTTAAGGGACATAAGGAGGAAACCCCCAGCATGGACCGTAGCTGCCGTAGCCCCTACATGACCCTTTTAAACAAATATTGTGCAACCAACTCAATGTTGAAACTGAAAAACATTTTTTATCAAAATTATTAACATTACTAGAACCAAAATTATCCAATCATGTCATTACCACATTCAAAGGTACCTTGCGCGGGTCCATCCTCTACGTCCCCCTACATGTCGGCTTTTGGAGTAGTCAGATGGGTCCCTCATTCCCAATTTTTAAGGGTCCAGGTTCCCTTATAGGCCCTAAACCCTAAACCCTAAACCCTAAACCCTAAACCCCAAGTCCCTTTGTGTCAGCTTCCACCTCTCCCTTTTGGCTTGCTCGCCGTTTCAGTTGTGCTTGGGTGCAGTTCTTGGGCCCCACCGTCCTTCCGACCTTCCGACCCCTGAGTTTCACTCCTCCACTTCGAATCCTGCATGCACTGGTTGGCTCAAGGACCCTCGCCAATGGGTTTAGGGTTCAGGGTGTAGGGTTTAGGGTTTGGGGTTTAGGGTTTGGGGTTTAGGGTCCTTCTACACCATCTGTCGGAACGTCGACAAGCATGAATATGCGCAGGCGTACCTCATCTTGGTATGTGCATCCCTTCCTAGCCTAGGCGCCCCGCGAGGGAGGGGCAGGAAGCAAGTGCATTTCTGATGGTAGATTCTCTTGCAAAGCCTCCGAGCAATAAATCTGCAACGGCCTTCTACATCCTTGTACATTTTTCTTGCAACTCTCTCCGGTCCAACCGTTTTCCAAGCGATCGGAGAGCCAATACCTCAGGGGTTTCGAGCCATGGCTATCAAAAACAATGAGTTGTTAGCAGGCCATCGGGTTCAGCGCTTCGGCAGCACGATAGTTCAGACGAGGGTGGATTTCCTGGTTTTATTGTACTTGGTAGGCCCTTGGGATATTTTATATTTTCCCTTATCATATTTAGGAATATTTTTCAGAGGGTTTGAAGGGCCATCCTAGTGTAGTTCCGTTCCACTCGCAGGTACTGTTGGGTGTCTTCTGGCGGGATGGGAGTTCTGCCCGGGACGAGGTTGGGGATTCCAAAGACTTCGAAAAGCACTCTTAAAGGGTTCAAGTTTCAGGGTGTGGTTGAAGCCGCAAATGTTTGGCCCGATAGCAGTATTCACATCATGAGGGATGCCGTGTACTAGCAGGCTGGCGTGGACTCCTCCACTGGTATTTGAGCTTCCCACCGTCGCTGGACACGTTTGTTTTGTTTGCTTGAGACGTCCATCGTTCTGCACATTCTTGCGTCGGACAATGTGAACAAACACTGCTGAGTGATGGTCACGAACCCCTTACAATAAGCTTAAATCCTAAATACCCTTAAGCCTTTCAACCCTTAAACCCTATAAACCTTAAAGCGCTGGTCCAGCAGCATTTGCATAACTTTTGCTTTGTGGGTGACGGGTCAAGTAGACCCTAAACCCTAGACCCAAATTAAACCCTATAACGCGGAGCGAAGATCGAGAAGCTTGGTTTCCATAAGCCGTTGATTCTACCCCCGCCGCCCCCCCCCCCCCCCCCCCTCCCCCCGCTCAATTCTTGGGTGCCCAAAAGATCCCAAAAGATAACAAAGTGGAACAGCGCAAATTCTTTGTAGGCATGTAAACAGGTGAATGCACGGGCTCCTTGCCTATATGGTCAAGACTACCAGTCCTACTGCGCTGCTGCTGTTGCTGTTGCTGTTGCTGCTGCTGCTGCTGCTGCTGCTGCTGCTGCTGCTGCTGCTGGTGCTGTTGCTGTTGCTGTTGCTGTTGCTGTTGCTGTTGCTGTTGCTGTTGCTGTTGCTGTTGCTGTTGCTGTTGCTGTTGCTGTTGCTGTTGCTGTTGCTGTTGCTGTTGCTGCTGCTACTGCTGCTGTTGTTGCTGCTGCTGCTGTTGTTGCTGCTGCTGCTGCTGTTGCTGCTGCGGCTGCTGCTGCTGCTGCTGCTGCTGCTGCTGCTGCTGCTGCTGCTGCTGCTGCTGCTGCTGCTGCTGCGGCTGCGGCTGCGGCTGCGGCTGCGGCTGCGGCTGCGGCTGCGGCTGCGGCTGCGGCTGCGGCTGCGGCCGCGGCGGCTGCAATTGCCACCAAAATGCAAGCGCGAATGAAGGCGCTCTGGCAAGCGCTTCACTGCAGTGCAAGCTTCGGAGCCTTGGCGGACGATGTTGGGTTGGAGCACGTGTTCTGTCGATGGTCTGGGGTTAAGGACTAGGATGCCCAGTAGTGCCCTTATTCCCTTTTTGGGGGGTTTAGGTTCCCTTATAAACCCCTTTAAGCAAAAAAGGGCACCCTTTTTCAGCCGAGGTTACTGGGCAGCCTAGAGGAACTCAGGTGTTGAGTGTTGGGTGTCGGGAACTGTTGTTAACGCTGCGTACAATTTCCAGGTTCATGCTTCGACGCTGTCTGCATCAGCCCCATAGACTTACTGGTTCAAAACCCAACTTTTCAACTTTTGGGCTTCTTATAAGGTAGTCTATTCTGAAAATTTCAACTTTTATTTCCTTTGGTTTTGGGCCAGTAAGTAGCAGCCCTAGCACTTGTCTCCACGGATCCTTGGCAATTATCTCGCTTTGGCTTCGAACTCCGCACCGATACTCGATTTTGAGACTCATATGGGCGGCACCTTGAACTCGCCCTAAACCCTAAACCCTAAACCCTAAACCCTAAACCCTTAACCCTTAACCCTTAACCCTTAACCCTTAACCCTTAAACCCTAAACCCGAAACCCGAACCCTTAACTTGAACCCTTAAACCCTAAACCCTAAACCCTAAACCCTAAACCCTAAACCCTAAACCCTAAACCCTAAACCCAAAATGCGCGCAAGTCGCTTGTCAGGTCTGCCTGCTCGTCTACACCATGTCAAATTTCGTCTTCGGCATGATCTGCTCCTGGGCACCGACATCTCATGTGCTTTTAAACTCACACGGTCACTTCCCTAAACTAGGGTCTCTTTTTTGGGGGCCCTCCCAATACCCCTTAGGGTTTAGGGTTTAGGGTTTAGGGTTTAGGGTTTAGGGTTTAGGGTTAAATAAAGAAATATGCCTTATATTATAAAGGGATCCTGAATATGATTCAAGGTATACTCGTTGTGTAAGGGGTATTGGGCTCTTTGGGTAAGGCGTTCCCCCTTGTTGAGGGGATCCGAAAAAGGGACCACATGTCTATATCTATGTCTATATCTATATCTATACCTATACCTGTACTTTTACCTATACCTATACCTATATCTATATCTATTTCTATATATATATATATATGTATATATGTATGTGTACCTACGCACAGCTAGATGGAGAGATGTAGACGTAACTCAAGTCATAGAGGCCCAGATATAGATAGAAGTAAGCTGGTCCCCAAGACCCTGAACCCCACATACATTTATAGATTCTTTGCTCCCAGAAACTGAAATATCCCTAAATTCAGGCTTCCTACCATATGTACAGCATTGTCCCTATCATTAGCTAAAGGATATTGGGAGTCTAGGGTACAGATGTAGATCTCGATTAACAAAAAGACAGATACCTAAAGGGTGCAGACCCCTTAACTACCAACCCTCAACCCTAGCTCGAGAGCCTCCCTAATCCTACACCGCAAGGC